TCTGTCACGGAGTGCCGTATGATAATATAGTAGCATTGAATCTGCACACGTTTATACACAGATACTGTGAGATGAGCTGACCATGAACAGGGTTGGATTTTTTTTTTCATATTTTAACCCGTCACTATCTGTTTTGTGACTTTCACCTCAGGGGGAATGAAAAAAAAACACGACCTAATCGATTTCTTCTCTCGCGATCGGCAGAAAGTAAATAAATAATATAAATATATACAGTAATACAGTAATATAGTCTAAAAAACCACGAAAAAAGTTTTAGTTTTTTTTTTTTTCATTTTTATACACTGCAAACAAACACAATGAAAAACCTGTAAATAAACTAAAAACTTTTTTTTTTTTTTAATCTGTATGGAAGATAAATCGTTTTGTGTGATTTTGCGTTTACACTCGGCAGTGTTACTGCGGCGAGAGTCTTATTATAATAACGTCATTGTACGAATAAAATCGTATTATATTACATTATGTACGAACTCGGGCTAACTATAATCAAAGATATTATTATTATTATATCTCCTGTGATGATGGGTGTTTTTTTCAACTATATCGCACGGCAAAGACCCTTTTTTATACGTCATCCTACTTTGGGTGAAGTTTTATTTAAAATTTGACACCCGGTTTGATTGATGCGATTTGCAAGAGAGGTTATCCAGCCCTATCTGTACTGCATGAATATACCGAGGGCGAGGAATAATCGTGCCACTGAATAAAATTAGTTACAAACAAGATAGCGGTTGCTAGAAAAAAAAAATAATAATTAAATATCAACTTGTATATTTTTTTACACGCAATTTTGTACATTTGCATTACAATGCAAGTGTGAAATTATGTGACATGTATAATACACCGACCCGAATTCAATAAAGTATAAGTAACTAATTCACGGGTACTATATTAATAGCGCATTATACTTTCGTACTTTCGTAGCCAATACAGAGGTCACCTTTCGTAATCTTGCGATGCAATTTTTTTTTAAACCAAAGAACTCATATAAAGTTACCTCAAAAACAATAATATTAATAAATATATATAATCATGAAAAAACTCCGTTGTTATGCATTCAAAGCTGCTTTTAATGCATTCAAACAGGTAGCCAAATGCAAATAATGGGATATTTACCTACTGGGTTTTTTTTTTTTTTTGAGTAAAAAACGTACATCTTTATAATATTTTTAAATAAATTGTCAATTAGTGGTAATTTCACGGTAACTAACAAATTTTGAATTCTACAGAGACCTCAAATTTACCACCAATTTGCTGTCATATCTATAAAAAAAATTCCACTCAAAATTACTGAAAAAATTATTGCAATATTGATAGTAACGGAAAATATTATTAGAATAAAAGATCACACTATCATACGTCATTGTTAGAACCCCATATGAATATAGGTAGAACACAAATTATAATTTAAATTATAATCAACCCAAGTCGAAGGTCTATTGAACTTACGGTTATGCGCTTAATTGTTTTAATTTTGAAATTATATCAATAAAATATTCTATTTTATTTTAAAGTAAAGAATAAAGTTTTTAACTCATTATTTTACGTATTACCTATGTTTCTCAAATACGTCTTGAGATAAATAAGATTGTAGCGAACGTATTACACCGCTTAAAGAATTATTATAATACTGATTGTCGTGTCCTGTACAGTGTACATTGATATCAATGTAGTGATATCTCTACAAAAAAAAAAAAAATTAAATAAATAAATAAATAATCATGTAGAAAAATATCAAAGTATAGAGAAGTAAGAACAGTTTTAGTATTTTCTAGATACTCCGACTTTACTATACTTCATAAAACATATATAGTTCAAGATCCAATGAAGATTTTCAAATCGCGTTTTAATAGTCTAATAAAACTTCCAACAATCACAAAGCTCTCACGGTTATACATGGCAGGCATAATTCCCCATAGTTGTCTTGTCGGAGTCTACCAGCTGTCCCGATATTATTATTGTAAACTTCTTTTGACTGTGTCGAAACACCATAATCTATTTTATTACACGTTTAATACGATGACGGGGACGCAAATCGTATGGACTCGAAAAAGTCCTACCGTTTAAAATAATATAATACAATGTACCGTAAAACCCTTGCGGGCGGACATTTTGTCTACTCGTACAAATAATAGACGTACCTATAGATGATATTATATGCCAACATACGAGTGTAACCCATTAAACCGTATAATACAATAAATAAACCTTCACAATCACGTTTGGTGAAAATATTACGATGCCTATGGTTTGGTGTGTGCACAATTTGCTCGATTTTTGTATAATCGTCGGTTAGGTTGTTGCAGTAATGTGCACGAGTTTGGGCCCGGCTATTGTGCGTGCGTCCCGTCACCAAGGCACTATACGTACTCCGCCGAACCAGCTAACATAATTTTTTTATTAAATACAATAATATGCATACGGTCGCTGTGCATAATATCATATTGTATCCCTCCATGCATTGACGTGGTTGAGGGTTCACGGAGGGTGGCAAAACGTTGTCCTAGACAAACTATGTATAGGCGTATCTATTATACATAATATATTATAGTGATAATATTATTTGCTGCTAAAATTTAATGACGCTTACAGCCTATACAAGTAATATATTAATGCGTATGGAATGTATCTTGCATTCCAATTTCCATTAAGATAAATATTGTTTACTGGTATAGTGTATATTTACTATACGTAATATAATATGTACACTATTGTAACTAAATACAATTTTTATTTAATTTTTGTTTTTTTCCTCTCGAATATTATTGTAATTTAAAACTTCATGATGTTATAACTTTTACTTAAATCCATATTTAAAATAAGAATAACCTTCTAGCTCCTAAGTACAAGTAAATCATAATATATCAACAGGGATCGTATTTAAAAATTTAAGCTCTACCTGTATGAATATATTTTTCAGTTATTTTTAACGTCCATTGAGTTCATTTTAATGATATATCATATTATTATAAGTATAGCTTGTTTTTATTTTTTGAATAACTTGCCCATGTCAAAATATTCGTTATAGTTTTAAACAACTTATTCGAAACAAATGATTCGGATTTACCTCAGATCATTTTCATTACATCAATTGCTTGCGCTAATGAAATGTCGGATTGTACGAAGTGCTGACTAGTTAATCCCACCGCTTGTGGACTAGTTGCGTATCAGTTTATAAACGTTTAATACATACTTAAAAAGTAGTTTACCTAACGCTATACTGTTTTGGTCGTTCGTCCGTCAGAGCTAGACGATGCGGTGAGGTAGGAAGATAACCTTTGATTGGCGGTGGATGAGAGAATGATTGCGCAATCCCGGCAATATAATATTATATTATCACAAAGGCCGGTCCGAACTTGCGTTTCTGTATTTTATACATATGTGCATATAAATAATACGTATACACGTATATGTATATGATGATATCGTAGACGACGCTCGACGGCTGTCTACATAATGGCCGCCGACCCGTAAAAAGGTTTAAGCGGTGCACATACGCCGCCGAAACGGTTGGAAACTGACGAAAAATCCGTCTAGTCATCCGCGTCGGGAGATTCCGGGGTTGCGACACGCGGCCCGCCGCGCACAATATAATAATATTGAGCATACTATACAAACTATACCTATACACAGACGCGTTTACACGATATTCTATATAATAAGAGCCGACGCAACACAATGCGCGAGTTGCATTATAATAATATTATAAAATTCGCTGATGTGCTGCAGCGAACTGTACAGGTGCAGTTGTATTATAATAATATGCAAAAATGACAAACTCATCGGTGCCGCCCATCCCGCGCACAAATGCATAACATAGTGTAATACAACCCTTTTTTGGTGCAGCACGTCACCGCGATAATATGCATTATAACTGTCGCTAACGGGTCGCAATCAAATTTGTATTAAGACCGTCGACACCGCTGCCGCCGTCGCCTAGCCGCTCCTATTGAATTATCGTAATATTTTAATAATATATTATAAGTATAATAGTATTATTGAAATGACTCGATTAGAAAAAACAATAAAACTATGCAGTCACGGTGAACGACGGTGTGTCGTGTGAATAACAAATTCATAATATCACTATCGACAGCATCCGTCGTCGATCCATTGGTCTATACAAATCCGCGGGTGCGCGTTATCCCACATAAACGATATTGTTCTGATAACGAAAAAAATAACAGTAAGGGGAAAATCGGCGAATCTATTTTTGTTCATATGTACACGATCACTGCTTTCTAACTGATTTTTTTTTTTCATACATACTATTATAATATGATATTGTATTACACGTTTCTATATATTTAAGATTTAACGATTAAAATAATTATAATACTATGATGTTCTATACTAATTGCATCGTTTCACATTCTTGAAACGACCGAATGTAGTTTAAACAATAATATGCAATCCAAATAATTTGAATTTATATTTTAAAATAAAATTCTTGAAATGATTCTTATTACTCAGTCACATACTTAAACCTATCTCAGCCTTCGTGTAAATCGTAATAGGTATACTAAATTAACTCCCAATATACGCGATGTTCATGCGTTTATATATTTTATACGAGTATATAGAGTTCGAGAACGATAATTGCACGGGGGACGTATCATAATATTTTATATGATATATACATATTATACATACATAGGCGAGCGTGAGTGTATTGTGTATACGTTTAACGGTCGCGAATAAGAAACTGTGAAATGACGAAAAAAATGTAGTTTTACCGTTTTGTTTTTGAGTAGACTTACGTCACATCGTTATCTCAATCTCTGTTTATTGAGGACACCATAATTATTTATGTTCAGGATCATTATTGAAATATAAACGACTTTTGACAACGATATATCATCGTACGTATTATAATATATTATTGTAAAATATTGACTAAATATATTTATTGGTTGACAATCGAAAAAATATTAATATCTCTGATAATAAACAAAAACCCCAGACAAAACGGTCTCTAAAACTTAAAACATCTAAATACATTAATAACAATAATAAATTATACTACACGAGTCAAACTTATTTTTTATCAATTATAAGTGAACACTTCATGACGTAATCGGTCCGCGTTCTCAGAGACTCTGCGGTTGACGTTGCGGCTTTTACAGCCACTTTTTATGGGTATCATTCATCTTCAGCTCGTCCCTCACAATCGTGCTGGCCCTTCTCAGGTCGCTTTTGGTCGGGAACATGCCATTATCGAAGAACAACGCAGACCACTGACGGGCGGGCAAGGTGACGATTCCCAGCTCCTTGGCGTACTCGCCAAAGCGCTTTACGTGTTCGCTGGTCACGTCCATCAGGCTCTCGGTCTTCACGATCACGTCCAGATCCGGATCCTTGAACAGCGGCGTCTTCTTCCGGATGCCCACCCGCCGGAAGAAATCTTCTTGGGACACCGGCAATTCGCACTCGTCGACAAGGTAATCGCTGATCTTGTCGGACAAAGAATTCACGCCCTTCACCAACGGTTCCGGGTACGGCCGTTCCTTCAAGTACTGCACGTTGTCGTACTGCGTGAAGTCGACCGCCCCCCAGTAGATTTGCAACAGGCCGATCAGGTTGTCGTCGGGCGAGGCGGCCAGCACGTCCATGTACGCGGCCGCGTTCTTCTTGAGCGCGTTGGCCGCGGTCAGCACGACGATCGGTTCGGCGTTCTTGACCATCATCAGCGCGATGCTGTTTACCTGGAACAGGACGTGCCGGAACGTGTAACACGACAGCGCCCGCCGCACGGCCTTGGCCGCGTACTCGACGCACGACCGGACGTCGCCGCATTCGGTGGTCATCTTGGCCACGATCTCGCGGGCGTCGTGAAATTTCCCGTCGCCGTCCTCCTTGTTCCCGTGCGACTCGGCGGCCGGCGGCCAGCCGATCAAGCGTTTCACGTTCGGCGGCACGTCCTGCTCCTTGATCAATTCCTGCAGCACGTCCGTCCACTGTTCCTCGTACAACATGACGTGCTCGATGAACTGCGCCTGGTCCAGGTTCGGCCGGTACACCCGCGTCGGTCTGCTCCGCGGCCACCGCGCGTTGTTGTCCGCGGCGGCCACCGCGAACGCGGCCACCAGCAGCAGTGCCGCTGCGCCTTTGCAGCCGGCGCACATCGTCGTCGTGGTCGCCGTGGTCGTCGTGGTCGTGGTCGTCAAACGTGTCTTTTACGTCCCGACGGAACAGCTGGTGGTTTCCTGTGCGCGAAGCGATTTGTCGACGGTTGGCGGCGGAATGGCGCGCGGCCGTCGACACGAACACACGTCGGCCGACCGCCGCGCAAACACAGCCGTGTTTGAACAGCGCGTCGTCGCGACTTGCGACGCCGCCGAAATCGTCGCGCCGTAAAATGCGCAGCGCGACGCCGGTGCGTTTGTCATCCGTTAGATTTCGTTTAGCGTTGCGAATCGTCTAATCTCACTATTTAATGATATTATAATAATTATAATATACCTACTCGTACGCGCGCCGATCGCATTCAAAGGCGACCACCGAGCTCGGCTCGCGAGTTAAAGTCGAACGGTGTAAAGCATACCGATAGAGCAGCGTTCGAACGTTTTCGCTCGACTGCGGTTAAACGGTCGTACAGTCCGTATTTCCAATCGGCGAGAAAAACAACGATGATAATATTAAATATTGATTGTTAAGTCAAAAACGATGTACAGTCGTCACTCGTTAATTCGAACCTCGATAATTCGAAAAATTCCATAAATCGAACTAAACGCTAAGTCCCCCGAGAAAACCTCTATAATTAGAAGAAAATGCATGACATATTCCGGTCCTCTCGATAATTCGAAATGTCTGACGACGGGACACGCTCTACAATTTGAATTTTTATTCCATAAACCTCTATAATTCGAATTTCCTTAAACGCGATTATATGTAAGTTCATATGCATGTACAATACATACATACATACGGAGATAACGTACAATCTATTTGACACGATCGTAATGAAACTTATAACGTTGGTGGTTTAGTATTATCGTAGTTGATAAATGTTATCGTACCTTACCTACCTAATCTAAACTTTTGTTAGGATTACGTCAATTTTTTGAGTAATCTGAAATGAACGAAAAAAGATGCGATACAATTTTCAATGCTATCAATAAGTTAGACAACGCTATGAATCAAACTGTGGCCACTGGCCAGCAATTTATCACAAAAAAAAAATAATAGATTTCTTTAATATGTAAAATATAATAATATAATAAATAAATATCAATTAATAATTATAAAATATAATAATATGTATGTATGTATATTTTTTATAATAAATAGATGTCAAAATAAATGTAATATGTACAATGTACATACATAAAATAATTTTTCACCTCTCTTTAATTCGAATTAATTATTTTCCCTCGATTATTCAAACACTCGGTAAATCGAAAACTTCTATAAATCGAATTTTTAAATTGGTCTCCTGAATTTCGAATTATCGAGTGACATTGTTCAAGGGCCCACACACATAATATCGTGTTACCGATGGTAAAACTACTGACGGGCTGATTTATTTTGTTCGTGTTTAATCGCTGAACGTAAAACTATTTAAATGCACGAATTAAAAACAAAGAAATGTGTCTCTTGAATCAGTCGACGTTTTTAACTGAATCGAGTTAATGTTTTCTGTATAACGACTTTTAATTTTAAAGGTTAAATATCTATATGTTTTTTAATTATATAATATATTGACTAACACTTATTAATATTCTCAACGTTGATGACTTTCATTAACTTTTCAAAAAGTCCACGTTATTATTATTTAATGTTGATATGTTACTAACATTTTTTTAATTATTTAACCACATTTGATTTGAATTTTCATTTGGTACAGTAAATACTTTTAATGTTATGTTATTTTTCAATTCGTTATTGTCAGCATACAATCTAGTAGAGTCCACTCTTCTACGTCCCTGCCAAAACTTTACGACCGATAGTTGAAAAAAAATCTACACATCGTAATGAAATTATTACGCTAGCATTAATTGTTTTTCTTCCGATTTATGAATCATTATTAAACAATTTGTGTATATCTAGACTTGTAAGATAATTACCTTTTTAGGATGTAAATGATTGTCTAGAAATTTAATTTTTAAATAAAAATCGTTTTATTTATTACATTTTTTAAGTTATCATTATTATTTTTATTATAACAATTAAAAACAATCAACATTTATCGATAAAAAATACACTATAATTTATACATTCGTAAGCCGAACCGTATTAAAAATAAACAAGATTGAAATTTATCATTCCTATGTATATTAAATAATTATAATCCTTTAAAAATATTGTTAAAAGATTTTAAATATTTTATTAAAATAATTTAAAACTTTTTTCTTTCGGTGGAATCGGTTTTATGAGTATGTTGTTTTCGAATATCAGACTCCAAACTTCCAATGGCATTTTCTCGAGGAGTAGGTTGTCGAATACATTGCGCAATATCAATCGCAACTGGTTGGCTTTCTTAACTATTTTGTCTTTTGGAATATCGCCATCTGGTTGAGTGGACGACGATGGATTGCCCTCGTCGCCATCGGTAGTTTCCACGTTGAGACTCATGGACTTTTGATTTTCCAAGTCGTACCAATTGGTTGATGACACAGCGCAATATGTCTCTAATTCGGTTTCCAGTAGGTCAATCATACTGGTGACGTCCCTGGAAATGCGTTTTATGAACGTTGATTTGTTCTCTTTGCCGATTACAGTTTTCGGTTTGACGTACTGAACCAACTGTTTTCTGGTGCTATCATAGAACTTGGCCAACTTAATCAGGTTGGTGAGATCCACACCGACGAGCGCCAGCCGGTCAGCGATCAAATGATAGTCGCTCACCAGGTGTTCTAGGTGCTTGTCAAACTCGTTTATCGGCGAATCATTGTTTATGCGTGATATTGCGGTCAATTGCGCTATGGTATGTCTGTTGAACATACATTGAACCGAATGACTTAGCAACTTAACGGCAAATGACACGTACATGCCCGAATACGAGCAGTGTTCCTTTACCGACTTGATGACATGGAGCGTATTTACCGTATCTCCAAAATCTGACAGTGGTGGGCAGAACTGTTTGACCAGATTGGCTTGCGTTACTACGTTTGGCTTGAGCTTTTCGCTCCAGATAGGTGACCAATTTTTGTCAAGAGCCAGCACGGTATCCAACAACTCTACATTTTGTCGGTACGTTACCGGAAGTTCGTCCGTAAGCTGGTTATTTTGTTCTTCCATGTCGAGCACACTGATGTTCTCGCCATACGTTAGAGGTAGCAGCAGCAGCAGCGACATTAGTAGCAGCGATGAGTCAGAAGAGACGTGACTACTAATGTGACCCAGCATCGCCATCGTCGTCGTAACGTTGTCTACTCAGTTAACAATTTTTAGAATATCAACGTGTTTTTGTGGTGAGCTATCAACAAACGTTCTCGGTCACTGTGTTGTCGAATATTATGAGACGTTTTAAGTGATTTTAAATGTAACAAAATAAAGCGTATAATGTGTAGAAAAAAAAATAAGAAAAAAAAAACAAGTTTTGTTTGCACAGCTTTTAAATTTTACACACGCAACACCGAACAAGCCGCTACCATTTTCTGATACCCCGATTTGATATTTAAACGCTCGACTGTGTACGGATAATATCACAAATAGAGGTACACTATGCCAACCATAGATTTATAAATTATAAATTAATGGATTGCGCTTAGAAAAAAATAAATGATCAAGTGGTAATATAGAGTAAAAATGAAAAGAAAGTGTATGGATAATTATAGTCTGAACATTATCCAAATTAAAATTATGTGTTAGTCTGTAATTTCTAATTCTTAATCGTTAAAATATATTATATGACAGCAATTGTTCAAGCTACTACCTACTTCTTGACATATTTCACGGCACTGAATTATTCTGATAATATAATAATATGTACGGGCTAGTGGGGCTACCGTGTTACTCCATTTTCTATTTTGGCGAATACAGGGAATTTAAAAACACGGAGGCCTTACTGGTAACTCATATACGTACACGTATAGTAAGTATAAAATGTAGGTGACTACATTATTGATTGGTACAAATATGACAATTTTAATAATAAATTGGACTCTACATTATTTGTTGTTTATTGACTGTCAATGATACCAGTATCATCTTTTCTGTGAATTGATCAAAATTAAAAATATTATTAATAAAATCATTCTAATGGAATTGTGTTGAACGAAGTTTAATTTATTATCTGAAAATATACTTTATGCATATAAGACAAAATATATGGTATACGGCCTGTTTTAAACTGTTATTATAAATATAATATAATAGTCAAACGTATGTTGGCGTTTAGATCGGTTAATGTATTAACGATTGAAATCTTTTTATGAAATATTGCTACAAACGTGCAGATATGTGTATAACCAATACTAGTTTAACGATGTTAATGATAATAACTCTTTTGCCGTATACCAAAAATGTACGCACGCATACAACTGTTGTTCATTTACATAGGTAATTGGTGTGTATAAATATTGTTGATGAAGCCTAAAAACGCCTATAGTAAGACCACTTGTATGAATACGCAATAGTCAATAACATACTTAAGCGTTTTTGTAGTTATGAAAAACAATCACAATGTGAAGATCAATCTGACCTCTTTTATGAAGTTTTAAAGAACATAAATAATTAAATAATTTATACTTAACAGAGTTTAACACGTCATATTAACATTTTATATTCTAATATTAGGATAATTGTGAAAAAAAATCTTTTAAATCAGTACTACAGTAAGTTGTAAAATTGTTACAGTCTACATTCAGCGGTGTCTTTGACTATAATCGTTGACTACGAACGGTGACAACAACCAACTGTATCTGCAGGAGCACTAAACCCGTTACATGTCAGATAGCTAAATTAGGTAACTAAATCACGACGATTGAATAAAGATGAAATAATACATATTACTCAATATTGTGTATTGTATTATGTTGTATTTAGTATCTGAATAATTGATTTAGCTGTTCTTTAAAAATGATTGGTAAACCGAACTACATCTAGACTGTTAAATTATTCAAGCTACGACACAGATAATTTTATGAAATTATCTAACACTTAATTATGTACATTATGATTTATTTATATTGTATTAATAATCTTAATCATACATCAAAATAATAAAATATAAAACAACTACTGATGTTTACAGTTTGTATACATGATATGTCGGCATAATTATATTATATAAATACACGTAACACATTTTTATGATTTTTCATTAAAATTAAATCAAATAAAATATTCTGAAATGTAACGTGCATCACATATTGGTATTATGGAACTGTGCATATAAATGTTATTAATCTAAAATCACAACCAAGCAATTGTACGCTATAAATTATTACTTCTAATCTCTTCAATTATATAGGTACACCACCTAACTCACAATAATAGATTGATACAAAACGATTTTAATCATATTGACGATTTAGTTCCAAGTTCTCTTGGTAATGTAAAATATCGTGCCATATGCTCTTGGACATACCGTTGATCCCTGGCGTATTACCAAAGGTGTCTTGGATTCCTTTCTGGCTGCTTTGGACCATCTTCTTGAAGTCGGGGTTTTCGATACTGAAAGACGCAGCAGTTTTGTACAAATTGTCATTAATATAGACTCCTAGCATAATCGCCACCTGCCTCTCCATAGATAACTTCTTACTATTCTCTGTAGGTTTAACGACACAATTTTTCGTCACGTAATTCATCATTGCTTTGGACCTTTCGTCCAACTGTTTGATGTACATGTTCTTGACATCATCCGCGATTCCGTTGCTCTTCGCCTTGTATATGTCGAAGAAACTAAGCGTTTTCAGCACATGTTCATCCGTGAACTGAAGCGCCCCCATCGTCATCACTATTGACTCTACGAACTGCTTGTTTTTTCCTGACCAACTGCCTGCCTTTTTCTGTGATTTTTTGCGGCTCATCTCCACGCTAATCAGAGTGATTAGGTGCACCATGTGCTTGTACAGTAGACACTTGTACGATACCTTAAGTACCTCCAGACCCATATCCAGAATACTGCCAACAACAAACCGCTGTTTGGATAGTATGTTTTTAATAAACACGTACGGTATAATGCGGTCCCGCGTGTCTTTATTGGATGGATCGGACGTTCCCGCTACGTCGGCTTCACCCGTGACTCGCGCGCCAACCAGTAGCTCGTCTTCGATGATGTTTTTGTAATAAGTACGATCCAGCTCGAAATAGACTTTCTCAAGTAATATCTTCCTCCACAGGTTATCATGTTTGACGACGGAAGACAGTAATTCCAACTTTTTGTTATACGCTGACATCGAGGTGGAGCCGGATGCTGAACAAAAGCACGCCAGCAAGATCATGGTCCGCGCATACGGATGCATCGTGACGATTATGGTGCGAAATGATTATCGCCTCGCCTCGTTTTCGGATTTGATTTCGCTACGGTTTTCGAGATGAATGAACAGAGAGCGCCGGATTCAGAAGCGTTCGCCGCGGGAGTGTCGTAGTTAGGTTAGTATGAACACTTGACGGTAATGGCTGCCAAAGAATGTGCGAATACCCGTGTTGGGCAAATACGGTTCAAAAAACAAATCAAGATCACGATTACAAACCCTACACAAAAAAATGTCACCACGACGCGTTGTGTATACAAAAACACCGTACGGAAATTATTGCACAAGATATATTAGGTACACATTAATATTTGATCAAGTGTAGTCTTGTACGCTGCAAATGGAGAAACTTTTAAGCAGCAAATCAATTTATTTATTTATTTTTACATTTTTCAGTTTAGTAAAAAAATTGAAAAAAATATCCATCCAAATTCGATATTATACGTTACGTAAGACTATAATTTGCTTGCATTGACATATTTATTGACAAATTCATATCCCTGTTTTGGTTTTGATAGCCATCGATCAGGTTAAATGAAGCAAAGGGGATTTATTTTGTTTCGCATAACCATATTTGCAAATGAATAAAATACACACTATTTCAATTATAAATAACTAATAAGTTAAATACATGTTGTATAATATATTATTGGCAATGGTATTTAATGAGAGAAAAAAACAAAAAATTTTCAAACTAAAAAACTACTTAAATTTAAACACTATATTATTGATTTATGTTAATAAATTGAAATAGTTAAGAGTAATATATTTTTAGATTTCAAAACTTTTAAAAACTTAGTTTTTGTATTTTAAGTGGAGTATTTTTTTGCGATAATTTCTATTGTATATTATACCATTTGTTATTGCGTATACATTTTAGCCTTAGTACATAATTAATAACTATAGAAATAATCACTACAAGTGCAGTAAACTTAGAATAAAATTGAACGATTTTATGTCAACCGTTAACGTACTTATTATGCGCTCATTGAGCAATATTTTTTAGTGCACTACCTATATCCCCATAAATACATCACTGAATAGAACATATTTACGTCTTTTGATTTTTGATTTTTGAAATTTTTCATAGATTTCATGAAAAATCAAGCAAAATATTATAGTATCTATAATAACTTAAATTATTTTTAAATCCCTCAGCGTATTGCGTTTATGGCTATTTAATAGTACTACGTAGAGGTGTCGAATGTCGTCAAATCTCATTTTACATAACATTTAATTTTTAGTGCATACACTAAAATTATCATATGATTTTAAATATATTTTAATCATTTTTATAAATTATTTTTTATCTATGATATTACAAAATTTGAGATGACTTATAAACTTGAAGATTTTTTTTTAGTGAATATTCAGTTTAATAATTATTTCTTATATTTTTTAAAAAATACAGTTAATTAACTTAAATTGTTTATAGCACTTTTCATTAAATGAAAATAGAACAAAACAAATTAACTACTTAGAACACCTGATAATTACAATAAATAATACCATAATGTAAAATATAATGAACGAATAATATATATTCGTTTTATAGATGTATTAAAATATGTTAATGATTCTACATAATTGAATAATTAATTTTTAGATTATATTTATCTGTTTTTAGTAACTAATGACTATACTATACAGTCTTTTTAGTGTATTTAAAATAAACCTATATAATTGTCAATAATAGTCAATAGATACTTCATACGCGTTTACTGCAATTATGGACGTATCCACTGCAGTATTTCTTATACTATTTAATTAGTTTGAATATTTTGTAGTTTATTAATTCTGTGTAAATAAAAAATAATAGTATTACTTGCTCCAAAATCTGATCCCACTAAACAAGTTTATTGGTGCATTTATATACGTAAATACCTATTTTTTAATATTTATAATAATGTATTTCAACAGTTGTCATGGTATTATTAATTTTATAATTTATTATTTAATGTTGTATTATCTTAAATTTTAACAATATTAAAATATCATGTATACGATCAGTACACAGTAACACATTGTTTAATCTTTTACATGACGTATAATTA